CCATATCGATGCTTTGATCTTACATCCAATAAAATTTGTGAAAATTAGTATTTTATAATTTTCATACTTGTCTAATGCTTCCGCAGAAGCTATTGTCAACGCATTCACCTACTTACACCTGTTACCCTCAATCAAGCATAAGCCACTGACCAGCATACTCCAACCCACTCTGTTCTGGACATTTCTTTCTAGTTCCATTCAATTGTTGTTTATTCTTCTCGTGTCTGTCTCCATTTTTCGGCGTAATGTGTTCTTTGGTCTATCTCTTCTCCCTTGGTCTTGGGGATTCCAAATGAGGGCTTGCCTTGTAGCGCAGATAAACGCTTTCCTCAATTTATGGAAGCTACTGACAAACTAATGAATACTAGATACTCATGGCCACATTTAAAGCGAGATGTATAAATGTTGGTTGGGGAGTTCGGTGTACCAGCAGTAAGAGAATAAAATTAATACGATTCAAATATTGAGGGTTTCTCATGCACAGATGCAGGTTTTAGCGTCGTTCATGTAGATTTAGCATATCTTTTACTGAATTCTAGTGGTTTTGATGGTGAGGGAGATGACTTCAATTCACTCATGTTTATGGGACGGGACATTTTATTTATATCAGGCTCTCTAAGATTGAGAATGAATCAATAAATCTCTGATATCAAGTTTGTTCTCCCACTCTCAATATTTAGACTCATGTTTCCAATTTTATGCTGAATTTTTATCAAAACAACCTATAACATACTAACTCGAACTTTTACACTGAGACTGTGTGGTTGGCTTCAGATGAGAAAACTATTAAAAAGGAGACAAAAAAGATATAGTAATTAGTTTTCTTAGCACTTTACCACCTTGATGCACTCTCTGATCTAATAAACAGCTTTTCTTGTTTTAACTTCGACTTCCTTTACATCGTTTAACCCACCATATCTTGTTAAATACCACAGCTTACTGTTCGTTATTATTGTATTTTCCCTTCTGGAGGCTCTAAACACACTTCATTCTATCAACATGAGCTAAATTGAGTTTAATCTATTAACGTGTGATACCTCTATTTAACTACAGAGTGTCAAATCTTGCTTAGTATTGATATGCAAGTGCCTTGTCGCTCCTCTGTTTTTTTCTTCAATACCATGCTCTCAGGGCACAACTCAACGTTCGCGTTTTTTCAAGATCATAGATCACATCAAGCGCTCTACAAATCTACTTTATAACAACTATAAACTTAAAATGTTTTATTGCATAAATATTTATTTGTAACTTGATTATGTTGAGCTTGGATTTTGTGTAAAATGTGGACGTGACGTCACTTTAGAAGATAATTTTAAAGACTTTACTCAATGTAATGCTAAAGCTTAGACCTAATCATTGACGCTTTGATATATCTGCACGAATATATGATTATTTACTTTTATTGATTTCATTTATTTCAAAACCCTACTTTAGAAGTATACTGTAGGCAAACAAATGTTGTGATTTATAGATTATGCCTGTCAAAATAGTATATACCTGCTCTGGCAGACAGACAGACTCACAAGGATCCTAGTAGCCATACTGATAGTTGACACCGCATCTGAAACGTTTTCTAGATCCTTCATTAAGAAATGGATGACCATTTTCGGTACGTCGATTACGATAAAGTAATCCAGTTCAAATCTGAGCTGTTCATATGCTTATAGAAACCTCTGGGCTGCAACTGAATACGTTTCATGGTATGTCATTTTCAGGCTAATGGGTTGATAAAATATTTATGTCGTCAGCTATATGCTACTCAGTAACACTCTCAAACTTAATTCATTCATCAATTTCCCCAAACAAGTTATGTTGAGACTAAGAACAACCACCAACTCCGATTTTGTATTGATCAGCAGAACCAGTGTTTGCTAACAGATTACGACTTCATCTGAGTTTATCAATCCTTGTGTTGAAAGTAAAATGTGTGAACTAGCAAGTTACATGAAGCAGTTACGTGACCAAATATGCAAACGTAAAACAACTAATAGCTGTAAACAGTTGCGAGCTACACATGTACCCAAGGATCTGAGCGACTGCACGCACATCTGGATAAGGTGGGAAAAAGTGAAAGCGCCACTTAGCCTTTCGTTCAAAGGTCAGAACAAAACTGTTCCAAAAAACCTGGATACTTCGTCGTATAAAAACGGGGAAACACCGGCACGGTAAGTATCCAAATGCTAAAACCAGCTTATCTAGATAATCAACCACCATGGGTTTCGTTAGACCGCTTACATGACAAAATAATTAAAGAACTGAGAAGTTACAATTGTGATTCCCCAAAAGTCCTCATAGAGGTGAGGTGGACAAACAGAGATTTCTCCACTTTTGGCTTAAACCTAAAATTTAACAATCTGTCTACTAAAAATTTAGTTTATTAAATTTTATGTGCATTTAAATGACAAAACCAAAAAAGGAGTATTTTACCTAAAGTTCCACTATTATCCAAAATAAAAGCACCAAAGTAGTAGAATCAAGTAATATTATACTCTCTCCTCTTAAAACCATTCATTTTTGGTTCATAAGTGTTGTATTTGATTTTTGCACTAGCCACATAAGGGATTTACTGTTCAACAATCCAATGAGAAGTGAAGATTGAAAACATTACATCAGCGGGGATAAATGACAAAGGTATGAGGACTTTTGGCTGAGGTGTGTAGTGTGAGCTGGCTACACCTGTGGATTTAATTATTTTTCTGCGTTTTTCCGCTAGTGGAACAAAATAGTGAGGAATGTGGGTGGAAACATCAACTAAAATTCCTGTGGATATTTAGTATAAACCCTAATGGTGAACTCCTGCGATGATGACGACATCCGAAAAAAATCCGTCTTAATCCATATTCTTGCTCAAGATGCCTAAATCGTGTCAAATTCTTTTCAGATTACCAATACGTTTAGCAAAAACAAAGGTTCATAAGAAACCTAATATTTATTCAGTATAAGTGTACATTCGCTTTTCGTACGGGCTGTGGGTCATTTTTATCGGTTTGACTGATTGTTTCTGGTTGAAAAAATGTTTCTTATTTTATTAAGACAACTCAAGAGACAAGTGGCTTCTAAATTTATGGCCTGGTTTGGTATGGGTACATTTGTATTTGTTATTATAATAACAGACCTCATCACAAAATTGTAGACGTGTCATATGTCTACCTAGTCTATAGGATCCTACGTGGAAGTTACACAATGGTCTACACTGACGTTTACTATGAAAACATTAAAATGACTCGTATAATAAGGAAATCAAGTCATAATTTACCGTGTGAAATAATAGCAAATACAAGGAGTATAGTAAACATTAATTAAAATGGTAACCACCAATGCAACTAAAGTCTAGATGGTTCAGGTAACGTGGCCATTTCGTAAAAGGCTGATACAGAGAGCTTATTACCTAGCGTTAAGTGACATTACGTACGAAAAAAGTGTCTAATTAGGACATGGACTAAGAGTGCGCGTGTACATGCGTTATGTTTAAGCACAATATGTTGACTAACGATTCACAAATGTACATGATTTCGACTAAAATTTGACGCAGTGACAGAATATATGACTACTTTACGTGAAAGCAATCACGAAATGTTATCACCAATCATAAATATAATGCGAAATAATCTAATGAAATTATGAAGTAGACAGCAGTTTGAATTTGGATTACATACGAGGTTCTGTTGATTAAATTCTTGGATTAACACAACGTTGTAAACTGAATTTGCATAAGTCCAAAATTAATTGAAACAAAAAACGTAGCATTACCTGACGAACAGTCTAAACGAGATCTAAGAATGCAGAAAATTTATAGTTCAAACTCACCGTAAATTTCTATCATCCTCTGTTTGTTCATGGAACTCAGCAATTGGAAATAGGCAGGTGGTGGTCAAAAAAAGGTAATTATTCTAGTGGATAGTGGTTAAGCAGAAAGATGGATTTATAGTCGACAGTTAATCTTGTCTAGCTTATACCAGCGGATAAGTTACAAAAAGATGTGAGTTCGCCTTACCTTGTGGCTATACTCACGAGTGGTCGATATTTTAACAGACATATTACACAGGAGCATTCACATGCTACTAATGCTTGTTAAAGAACCACGATATCTGATTATAATGGTAGTTGACTTGTTAGTTTTATCGACTGAACTAGTTATTTGAGTTAAAATACTAATCAACATTGACATGAAGCAACGAAAGTTCATAGTAACAGATTGACATAGGCGATGATAAAATGGAAAGGAATAAGTTAAGATTTCAATAATAAAGGTTATAATGATAGGTTGCGCTATTCGAAGTCTTGCTCACCAGTGTAGATCACCAGCGTGAATGATCTATGTCGAGTGATCGTAAGACTACTCGAGTTAGACGGGAATGGTGTGGCGAACCAGCTAGCGTCGAAGTCGCACCTCACGGTCAACACCATACGTGGACTACCCCATTGACGTATCAAGGTACTATAGATGCTTTGAAGACTATACAACACAGAGGACGTTATTACAGAAGTATATTAGTTAAAGTAGATACAAGCGAAAGAAGGACCACTGCTGGATGGCCAGTCCATGGCGTGCGATTAGCTGATGCGCGTTGGTTGTCCTTGACATTGACGAGGATCGATGATTTGTTCGATATTAAATGACCCAACTGTCGGATAATTTGGCTAGGGCACAGTGGAATTTTACTGGCTCTACACATTCTTATTTTGTAAAAATAAATTTCTTCGACACATCCACACTACATAAGCAATTTTAATGTAGTCTTAATAATCTCTAAGTTTAACTTTAGGTAACTTCTTCGTATTTAGCTTTTAATGTAGTACTCTATGATCCAAAGAAGATGAGTACTCACTTTTCTGATCATTACCATGCGAATTGAGCTCTAAAAGCTATAATAAAACGAGTTGTAAATTCATAATGCGCTAAAAAGCATGTTTTATAAAATATTTGTTTGTTTTACAGGCTTATATTTGCAACAAGGCATTTTGTTTTATTGCACAATGTGCGTCTCATTATATTTAAGGTCACTTGACGCGTTATTTCAAATTCCGTTTGAGTTCAGATGAAAATGTAAGTTGATTTTTTTGAAAAAATAAATAGTATGATAAATTTATGACACCACAAAATTCGTCAATAGTTTTTTGTGAGTGAATACCTTTTTTGCTTTCTTCACACTTGGTTTCAAATACATTTTAACAAACGATCTACGTCATAAAATTTTCATCAATCACAAAGTTTCTTCGAGGTTATTAGCCATCATCATTGCTTTGGTATGGTATCATGATTTATAATAATTTTCTCACATTTTCACTGACAAGGTATTTTCTCACTCCTATTAGGTTCTTGAAATGTAGGGTTGTAGGGAACTACCGATAAGAAATATAGTCCATCACGAAATAAAAAAAATCTTACTGGTACGACTTAGTGCAAATAAAAAAATAACGTTACGATATTTCAAATGCTTATCCAGTAATAAATTAGGTTATAAATAATTTTATGACCTACGTTTCGGAGTTATGGTCAGCATTGGCAATTGGGAATATGATTACCATTATAAAATAACATCAACCTCAGTTTAAAGTAGGCAACAGTGTAGCATAAGTCGAAATAAAAATGATCACGGCAAATTTTGATCTAGTCATTAGTCAATCAGAAGGTAGCTTCCGTAAATTAATAGTTTATGGAAAAGAAAACTATAATAATACAAGGTGTAAAATGATTATACGTATAGCAGATCTATAAACATCTTTCAGAGAATACTCAGTTTTGATAAATTTAAAAGTTAATGCAACGACGGAATCTTAATATATAAATTATCTATATTTCCAAACTTTTTAAAAGTCGCAAAAGAATTTTTAACCGACGTATAGTTCGTGTTTATGGTTGGATATTTCGATTAGAAATTCGCGGTTCGGTTTTATAGCTTTCATCCAAAACCGACATCAGCTATGACATATTTATAGTTAGTAGCCATGTGAGAGTATAAATTTCATTTCTTGCTACAAAATTGTTCACAGGTATGTAATTGTCAGGAGTGTTTTCAACTCTTAGGAATCTGAGTATTAGTTCATCAATTCATGTAGAAGGATAATTTATGTAGTGAACTAGGGAGAGAGAGGCAAAACTGTCTAGCATTTAGTAATCTTCAACAATTGTTTAGTCATTTACTGCCCTTGGTTTCTAAACTAATATTTTTAACAGTGTAGTTAATATTAGCCAACAAATGTTAATGTCAAAGTTTGATGATGATCAGAAATATTGCATAACGACTGAATTCCAAGGGTAATGTATTGTCATTTAATCAATCTTAGACAACGTAGTACTCGGCACGGATATGCATCGGTACAGTTATTTAAATCACATTAACAAATTGCGATGCTAGAATAGTACAATATATAGTTTTTACTCTTGAAAGATATTCAAGAAAAGACATTACTTTGTCGTTAATAAAACCATTATTTGTTGTTAAAGCCGTGATTATTACGTAAGTAGTCAACAATGGACTATGCGATACTTCTTTGGCAACTAAATCAGCAGAAGGCGAAACTTGAAAGTCGTATAATACTGTTATCTTCACTGCAATTAATTAGATCTGAAATGATAGGTAAACAGTGAAGTTCTATCATTATGCAAAATTGACATACTTGATCGTATGCTCAAGCTGTTCTGAACATAACATATTATGTTTTTACTCATGCAAGTTAAAGCTTATTGAGCTTTAATATAAGTTTACCACTGGAAAATAAAGTTATAACTAAAATCCATCATGAAATATATTGCCTGTGATGGATATTGCGTGAAATCGCAGTTAAGTTGTACTGACCTAAATCATCAGATCCCTTATCTTCCTCTAAATAATGACCTAAGATTCATTTCATTCCTTATCATCCTGAATCCATGTTTATTTTTCTGACCAATAATTCTGATATTTAGTCTCACTAACGTTGAGTTTATCATTATATTGGCTCTTTTGTTTTTTTTAATGTCCTCCCTCTTGTATGATGGCTGTAAGTGATATACACTCATTTTAGACCATACTTTGACTCTGACAAACTGACAACAGAAAATCGGTTACACAGGCTCATCCTGAACATGATGGCTTCAAATAGGTCAAACCGTCGAAATTTAGTTGCACTACTTAAGATATACATTTTAAGAGTAAAATGATAGAATTATATAATGAGATTTGGCTCAACCTTTATATATTAAACAAACGAGATCATTTTGCCTCTTATTTAATGTAAACATGAGTTATAGGTATCAGTTTTAAGATTAGACTTGATAGTTTCAAAAAAATTGAACATTTAGTAAGAAGTTGATAATAAATGTATTTTTTTCTGCTACGTTCCAATGAGTACCAAATTTATTTCTGACGTTTCGTGACTTTGTATAAGCCACTTCTTCAGAATAAATAAATAACTAAGGAAATGACTTACACTAAGTAACGAAACATTAGCAATCCACCTTTCTATCCAATTGGATATAAGATATATATATATATATATATATATATATACTTATTTACCAGTAAGTATGAAACTTTTTATAATAAATCGATTGATGTTAGACCACCATTGATAACCCAGAAGCACTGGACGCTAGTTTCGTCCTAGTAGGAGACTCCTCAGCTGTGCGAATTCACGATCTCGCTTGCGGGATCCGAACCCAGGGCCTTCGGTTTCGCGCGCGCACGCTTAACCTACTGGGCCACTGAGCCGGCATCCAATGATGTTAATGTCTAACATCAACCAATCCACGAAGTTGCGCGACCATCTTCCATTTTGATAAGGTAGATACCTGGTCACGGCTTCCCACTCGAACCCCAAGAATTCCCTGAAGAAGCTAGTCACTAGTGAGCACATGTTAGTTATCAGTATTGGATTTTTTATTGAGATCATGAACCGATTCATGTCTTTAAATATGTTTTCGAAAGTAAAACTGTCTTTTCAGCTTACTTCCTTTCCTAAAGTCGTATCAGACACCTGATGGTGCAGACAACTAGGTAAATAGTACGATATCTATGTATGAACAGTTTGGCTGTTTACGAACCTGCATAGACTTTTGATGTTCATTTATCGTATATACGTTAATTATAATATGAATAGTCGTATTCGCGGAGATTTCTTCTCAATCCTAAAATAATTTGCATAACTTAATTACATTAGCAGTAAAAACTAAAAAGTAATGCATGGGTTTTTTATTCAAGCTTGTGACAAGGCTCGCTATTATTAAGCAATTAGCTCAATAGGGTAATTCAAATCATTAGTAACAATCATCTAAACATTATACTTGTTAGATTCAGTAGCTCAATGGATAATATATTGGAGATTTAAAACGAAAGTAACCAAATTTGAGTCACCTGTCTCATCATAACACTTGAGTTGAGGCAGATGCGGACGACAAATTCTAAACAAGATGAAATGAGAGGGCTGGATATCACTATTAACTATTCTATACCAACTTTTTTTGAGTCCTAATTGCATAATGGTCAATAATGAGTGAAATCATATAGAATTATTGAGAAAAAATGCCAAACATTTCAGAGTATTGAATTTATTAAATCTGTTCAATTAATGTGATCTTGCGGGATCGTGGATGCGCACTGCCGAGAAGTCTCACAATAGGACGAAACGGCCGTCCAGTGCTTCCAGGTTTTCAATGGTGGTCTAACATCAATCAGCTCATGATATCAATAAACCCCTAAACTGATAAGTCTTAAATTGTTGACAAGGTGTTTATGAAATATTTTTAAGTATCACAGAGAATTCACTAGGTATATGTTTAGTCCAGAAAAGTGTTAACAAAGTTTTGGCTTTGTTAGAGACTGAATGTTTGTTGAAGTTTTTCACACCGTGGACTGAAAGTGACTATTTAACGAGCACTGAAAAACAGTTTTGTCTTAGTTTCACAATGTTCATTAAGTCTACAATCGGCTGACATCGTCAGTGATCAACCGCAAGACCTTCAGAGTTCATAACAAGTAAGTCGAACTGTAGCCCTGAACATCATTGTGATAAATATTGAATAATCGCCATTTAGATGTTAGCAGTTCAGTCAATCGACATCTAAATGATGTACATTGTTTTCAATGCATATTACCAGTAGCTATGATAACTTTGATTGGACTCCTTTATAACTTGTACAATGAATGATTGTACACTTTTCAGAAATGCACTTGAATAGCCATAATTATGTATTCAGTTTCAGTTTGGAAAGGAAAGGATAGGAGGCTTGATAGCTTGTGTTAGTCCTGGCAATGATGATCTCTTAGTTGATTCTTTTGAAAGAGTCATTAGATGAAACCTCAACCTCGTGTTGAAGTAATGAATTCCATTAGCTGATGATTCAATGAAAAAGTTGATAGTCAATTGACAAGTAATTTGTTCTGAATCTGTGAACCTTTTTCTTTATAGATAAGAAAAATGAGGGTATATCAAGTAGAAATTTATCACTAAACAATTTAAAAACTGTAATCAAATCATTTCTAATTCTTCAAAATATAACAACAGGAATAAGTTTAGCTTAGTCAATTGAGCATCATACAGAAGCTTTGCTATTCCATGAATCAGTTTAATTGTTATTCTTTGAATCTTTTCCAAAAAGCTCATTGTCTTTTTTTTTTAAGCACGGGCTAGCTGCTTGTAAGCAGTACTTAAGTTTAAGACGTACAAACACTGTATACAAAATCAAAAAGAAGTTTTAAAATAAAATAGACAACATGTTTGAAACATCTAGATGGCAAGAACAAGTAGTCCAAATATTCAAGCAAGCCATTACATAAGATCCATCAACAAATCACTTCATAGACGGTTTATCATTCAACTGATCCTTTTATTAAATATTTAAGTCCTATTTCTTATGACAATAGGATTAATTAGAATTATGATTTTATTATTAGAACGGGTTTTGTGGAGATTTTAGTCATTTCAATAGTTGAAATCATAAGTCAACTGAAGCTAGACGATCATAGGAAATCTAGAAGCAATCGATAGCCGTCTAGTTCTAGTAAGAGACTCCTCAATAGTGCATATCCACGATCCCGCCTTCTCCCTCCCGCGAGATTCGAACTT